GTAACTCATCGGTTGATGGCTTGTGTTTTTTGGAAGATAGATTGAGTTTAAGTTTTTTACTTTCCTTTTTGATTGGTTTTTTTATCCCATTATTCGACGGAGGCTTGATTTTAATCTTGGGCGCTGGCAGTTCTGACCTTTCCTCTTGCAGACCGGGCGAAGAAGCCACTTTGAGCTTGAGCTTGAGAGGCATAACCGTGGTACTCACGGCTCATACCAACTTTCAAGTTGTATTATGGTGTTGGGATGTCTTTGGTGAGATGGAGTAGTTGCAGCCATAATTTGGATGTGAACAACAGTGTTAGAAGAGTAAACGGGATGAATTAGTGAAACTTTAAGGAGCGTGGTTTGCATTACCTGTTAGTTTTTACGAAATAAAAATTTGGAGATTAATTTGGAAGGGGTTATTTTAGTGTGGGGCGTATGAATTATCATCACTCTGCTACAATATCAGCAATAAGTGCAGAATTTAATCTGACATGAATAGGGAAAGTTCCTTCGGATTGTGTATCTTTTTATTGCAGTCAAAACTGTATTTGCAAAATTTTAGTTTTTTGCTAAAATATCAAATTCTACTTGGGTTGCTAATGGGCTGTTAGACTTATAATCACCCATTGGTCCAAGAATGTCAATTTGAACAATCTCGTCTACTAGAATCAACAAAGATTAAATCCAAGTTCCCTTTTCATACTAACTTTCTTTGTCATTGATGAAAATTTCGATTTCATTCTGTCATATTGCCTCAGCCGGAATTCGCAGCGATAAGCGCACTGAAAATTATTGCTATTGAAAACCACCAAGTATGCCATCTGGTAGAAAACAAGATGGCCACCGACGCCGCTCGTCGTCTGTGCAAAGGAGGACTCGACAGTATTCGGTTACCTCGGTGGACTCGACAACAAGTAGTTTTTTCAACGAGGCTAACAACCATGAAATGTACTCGGGTGCTGTTTCAGAAATCATTCCTTCTTCCATTACCTCGTTTCATTATCCTCATCACTTTGGAAGTCGTGGGACTCGAAAGGGCCTGTCTGTTTCTCGAGAAACTTCACCTTTGTTGGCGGCGGACAACAGAAACGACATAGATTTACAATCTGTTCGATCCAACGCAACCGCAAGTTCGGCAGAATCTCAGTATGGATTCAAGTTTTTCAGAGCAGATGAGATCGAAATGGCGCCAGGAGGTTCAACCCTCGAAAACCCAGAAGATCCCGTCGATTACAATACCGATTGGGACTACTCAGTAGACAAGTATGAAGAAGACCAGCCATCATTATTTCATTCACTTCAAGGTGCTACCCCAGGCTCAGCTGAATACGATGCCATAAACCAGCTCCACCGTACCGGATCTTCTAGTGGTGCTATCAATGACAATGAAAGTAGTTATGGATCTATTCATTCGTCGACTGCGTCGCTATTTGAAAGAAGAAACCGCAGAGGTTCAGATGAATCTGGTAAAAATGGTTCAGAAAGCATTGATGAGTCCGCTTCCCTTCATCTGGGCTCAGATGTCCACGACTCTTCAAAGTATCAGCCAGTGTCGGAGTACCAAAGGTTCTATTTGGCAGAAGAAGATTTGGTAATAGGAATTGCTGGATACTCAAATTGTCGCTGGAAAATTTTCTTGTACTATGCTTTATGCATACTAACCTTGGGTTTGGGATATCTAGTATTACGATGGCTGCCTCGTTATCGTATCAGCTTGATGGGAAACAAATGTCCATTGGGGCGTGCCGATTGGTGTGTGATTGAAAACGAATATGGTGAGTTATCCATTGTTCAAATCAATAAGAGAAGATACAACGAAAGACTTTCTTCGTTTCTTGCACTTCCAAAAGTTGCGGACGACGAAAGCAAATTAGATGAGACTGCCGACCTCAACCCAGTGGTTCAAAACTTACTCAGCTTTAGCTATCGCTACCTTCGGTTTTTTTACAGTCCAGTCGAGGATATCTTTAGAACAAACTCAACGTGGTACGACAGCCATTGGACTAACTTAAAAAGCATCAAGGAAGGAATTTCTCAATCAACACAAGAGCAGAGAATCCATAATTTTGGTGAGAACAATATTGAAATCGAGGAAAAGTCTATCATGCTGCTTCTCACTGACGAAGTATTACATCCGTTTTATGTGTTTCAAGTGTTCTCCGTCTTCCTCTGGCTTGCCGACGATTATTTTTATTATGCATCGTGTATCTTTTTCATTTCGTTGATTTCCATCGTCAACAGTTTAATCGAAACCAAGTCCACCATGAGAAGACTTCAAGAGATTTCCAAGTTTGTATGCGAAGTTAGAGTGTGGAGAAATGGTTTTTGGAAACAGGTAGATTCTAACGACTTGGTGCCTGGAGATGTCTTTGAAGTCGACCCTTCCATGACGGTTGTTCCTTGCGATGCTCTTTTAACCAATGGTGAATGTGTGATAAATGAATCAATGTTGACAGGAGAGAGTGTTCCAGTATCTAAAATTGCTGCTACTTCTGAAACAACCCAATTGCTCTCTGAAGATTTCACATCTCCATTGGTAGCAAGATCACAATTATACAATGGAACTAAGATATTGAAGATAAAGACATACAACGATTCCCCCGTTATGGCTATGGTACTCAAGACTGGTTTTAATACCACGAAAGGATCTCTTGTTCGTTCCATGTTGTTCCCCAAGCCAGTTGGTTTCAAGTTCTATGAAGACTCTTTCAAGTATATTGGGTTCATGGCTCTAATTGCTGCAATTGGGTTTACTTATTCCACATACAACTTTATCAAGCTTGGCTTACCAAAGAAGCTCATGATACTAAGAGCATTGGATATCATCACCATTGTCGTTCCACCCGCTTTACCTGCGACACTCACTATCGGTACTACTTTTGCAATCAGCAGATTGAAGAAACTTCAAATCTTCTGCATCGCTCCCACCAGAGTCAATATTGGGGGAAAACTCGATGTGTTATGCTTTGACAAAACTGGTACTTTGACAGAAGATGGGTTAGATGTGTTGGGCGTTCATGTAGCGAACAACGCAACTGGACGTAAAGAAATCATTTTTGACGATTTGGAAAGCGAAATTGAGACTCTTTGCAAGAAAGTGGACTACAATAAGGCAACCAAACTGGAATCTAATGCTCACAAATCTTCGCACGAGGAAGTTCTCTTGGGGTGTATGACAGCATGCCACTCGTTGAGACTCATCGAGGGAGAGTTACTTGGTGATCCATTGGATGTCAAGATGTTTGGTTTTACTAAATGGAACTTTACTGAGAACGTTGAAGATTCCAAGAGTGCGGTTCATCCTGGATCTGAGATACATTCCGGTTACTTGATCGTCTCCGAGTTTGAGTTTGTTGCGTCCCTAAGACGTATGTCTGTTATAACGTCCAAAGATGATACTGGCTATGTCTTTTGCAAAGGTGCACCTGAAGTCATGATTGAAATTTGTAATCCAGAGAGTATTCCCACGGATTATGACGAGCTTCTTCACCATTATACTCATAATGGCTATCGTGTGATTGCATGTGCTTACAAGACAGTCGATGCTTCCAAGAAACTCGAACGTGAATCTGCCGAATCAAATCTCACATTTATTGGGTTCATTGTCTTTGAGAACAAATTGAAGCCCTCGAGTAAACCAACTTTGAATAAATTGAACGCTGCAAAAATCAGAACCGTGATGTGTACTGGTGACAATATCTTGACTGCCGTTAGTGTTGCCAAAGAATGTGAGCTTGTGGCTCCAGAAGTTCAACACATTTACTTACCCTCGTTTACCGAAGGTAATGATACGGGAATAACATGGGAGAACATGAACGACCCAGATCTCAAATTGGATCCGTATACTTTAAGACCCATAGAAATGGACTTAAGAGCAGAAACACCAGAGTCCTATAAATTGGCTATAACCGGTGACATTTTCCGCTTCTTGTTGACAGAAGTCAGGAATAATACCCTCACGCAACAGCTTTTGATGAACTGTGATGTGTTTGCCAGAATGAGCCCCGATGAAAAGCACGAATTGGTCGAGCAACTCAGAAAATTAGACTATACTGTTGGATTTTGTGGTGATGGAGCAAACGATTGCGGAGCATTGAAGGCAGCAGATGTTGGTGTATCCTTGTCGGAAGCCGAAGCTTCGGTGGCTGCTCCATTCACTTCAAGAGTGTTCGAGATATCATGTGTATTGGACGTTATTCGAGAGGGAAGATCAAGTCTTGTCACCAGTTTTTCCTGCTTCAAGTATATGTCCTTGTACTCAGCCATCCAGTTCATTACCGTGACAATTCTTTACAAGAGGGGCACTAATTTGGGAGATTTCCAGTTTCTTTACATCGATCTTTTCTTGATTCTCCCATTGGCTATTTTCATGTCTTGGTCCAAACCCTATGAAAAAATTGTCGTAAAGAGACCAACAGCAAACCTTGTATCACCCAAGGTGTTAATACCATTATGTTGTCATATTCTTGTCATTTTATTCTTCCAAATTGCTGTGTGGTTATATGTTCAACATCAACCTTGGTATCTCAAACCTGTGCCTGGAGGTGACGACGAGGTAAAATCTTCTGATAACTCAATTCTTTTCCTCTTCACTAATTTGCAGTATATTCTTATTGCTATAGTGTTGAGTACTGGCCCACCATATCGGGAACCAATGACAAAGAACAAACCATTCTTACTCAATGTGGCTGTTGCTATAGGTATTTCTGTTGCCCTTTTCCTGGTCGAAGGGGATTCTTGGATGGGAAATCTTATGCAACTCACAAATATGTCAAGAGGAGCATACTGGATAATTATTGGTGCTGCTATTTTGAATTTGCTAGTGATGTTGGCTGGAGAAGAAACTTGGTTTGTGAATTTTGCGCGGACTTTCAAGCGAGTATTTCACCGTGCGTCGCTTGGAAAAAGTAAGAAATTGTTCAAGAACTTGAAGAGAGAGTTTGCTCGTATAGAAAGTGTATAGTTGAACAAGAACATTAAGCTGCAAAAAAATGTTGCAAAATAAAAAATAATGAACACGCCCAGGATCGAACTGGAGATCTTCTGCGTGTGAAGCAGACGTCATACCACTAGACCACGCGTCCATTTCTGGATGAGAAACACTCTGAGAAACTTAGGAGGTAAAGCAAAACAGGTTCAAGTGATTAAGCAGGACATGGAGTTGCTTGAAGTGTGAATTTGCACCAGAGTAAAAATTAGTCTGTCCAGGGTGTTTTTTGAGAGCTTGAAAATTAAAAAAATTTGATCACGCCCAGGATCGAACTGGAGATCTTCTGCGTGTGAAGCAGACGTCATACCACTAGACCACGCGACCAATTATTGGATGAGAAGCTCTCACGTGCGCATATATACTAGCAGCCGGAGTCATCACAACTATTCCGAGCGCAAAAATAGTTTGTCCTAATAAATATGCTTAGGTACAGGTTTTGGCCTCTAGTAATAGTTAATGATCTTCATTTCGTAATCGGAGATAGTGCCACCCCTTATAACACCAGCGCAAATCTTTGTAAGATCCCGAATACCCGATCTTGCATGGCCATTATTGGCCCATTATACGTGCCAAGCTCGTGAATTCACCCGCATTCAGGTGGGGTCGATGCCCGGGACGGCATATAGGCCCAAACCCTGCCGCAATGCCGCCTGGCGCGCATTGAAGTCCGAGCGCAGTAGCCGAAACCAGCGAATTTTGTGGGGTTGAGCGATGATAGGTGGGGCTTTTGAGCAACGCACATATATATACGAAATTTGTGGGTATAATATAAAAAGTCACAGTTCCCAACAGATGCGCAAATATTTATTAAACTACTAACAAGGCAAATCAGGCAATATTTTTCAACCACCTATTTAAATATTTATTACTCATCTTTTAATGACTTCATCTAACGATTCCGTCCATTCCAAGGACACCAGCTCTATCGAGGAGGTTGGTGGAATTCGCACCGCTGGTGACGGTGACGAATTCGTCATCATTGGTAAGCAAAAATTTTACAAGCATGAATTGATGAATGCCTTTGGTGGTACGTTGAACCCTGGTTTAGCTCCATACCCTGCCAACAAGTTTGCCAACCCAGCGCCGTTGGGGCTTAGTGCTTTCTCGTTGACCACTTTTGTGTTGTCCATGTATAACGCTCGTGCCATGGGTATCTCTGTTCCCAATGTTGTTGTTGGTTTGGCTGCGTTCTACGGAGGTGCAGTGCAGTTTTTGGCAGGAGTTTGGGAGTTGGCTGTGGGAAACACTTTTGGTGGAACCGCTTTGACGTCTTACGGTGCATTCTGGTTATCTTTTGCTGCCATCAATGTCGAAAATTTTGGTATTGCTGCCGCTTACGGCGACGATGTTACCCAATTCCATAATGCCGTTGGGTTCTATCTCATTGCCTGGGGAATTTTCACGTTCATGTTGTGGCTCTGCACCATCAAATCTACTTTGGCCTTCACATCGTTGTTCTTCTTATTGTTTTTGACGTTTATCTTATTGGGTGCTGGTGATTTAACAGGCAAGCTTGGGGTAACCAGAGCCGGAGGTGTGATGGGTGTGATCACTGCGTTTGTAGGTTTCTACAACGCATTCGCCGGTGTGGCCACCAAACAAAACTCCTACTTTGTCGCCAACCCCATCCCATTGGCTCGCAAGTAGTATTTATTCAAGTAATTTAATGTTTAACTTCAACTTAGCGCCCGTGCAGGATGTATCGAAGCCGTGTCCTGCACACCTGTACCCACGTTTCTAATTTATCGCAGCCGTCGTCTTTCTAACCCTAATGTCTAGTCAGAATAAGAGAATCGCCCTTCCCGCCAGAGTGGAACCCAAGGTGTTCTTTGCCAACGAGAGAACATTCTTGTCATGGCTCAACTTTACCGTCATCTTGGGGTCACTTGGTGTGGGTCTTTTGAACTTTGGTGATTCGATTGGCAGGGTCTCTGCTGGTTTGTTCACATTTATTGCCATGTTGACCATGGTATACGCCTTAGTCACATACCACTGGAGAGCCAGAGCCATCAGGTTGAGAGGATCTGGTCCATACGATGATCGTTTTGGTCCTACAATGCTTTGTTTCTTCTTGTTAATAGCAGTGGTGGTCAACTTTGTGTTGAGAATACGGGCATAGACAGACCGATAATAAAACATTGTGTTACAGGCTGTAGCACACAATCAATTAAGTGTCAATTGAGGGCCATTTTTCTACAAGTCAAACAACGTTCCATTATTACATTTTTATTAATTTAATTCAATTATGGCTTATCCAATCCAATTATTTGTGGTGGCAATTGCAATTTCTCATTGTACTTGTCTAGATATCTTCACCTCTTTGCTCTTCTGTTCCTCCTCTCCTCACTCTTATCCCATTCTCACGCCTCCACACACCATTTCTTCCTATCAACATGACAAGGAACCTCCACGAGTACAAATCTCCCAAGGTAGTGGCCACTTTCTTGGTTCAGTTCGATACAAAAACTGGCTACAAGCTCGTATGGTCCAAATGTAACCCATCAATATCACTTTCTGGTATTGAATACAAAGCTTTACCTTCCGGAATTCATGAATGCGACAGCAGTACGGTGTTTATTGTTCATAAAAACGACGATAAAATGCTCTATGGACTAAGTCAGTACCGTAGCGTGACCGAGGGTGATAATGAACTGACGGAAACGTCGGTGGACCGGTCAAAAGTCAAGATGTATTCATTGGGAATTCTTTGCGATCCGGTGTCAAAGTCATGGAAACCAAACGAGTATATCAGTACTGGATGGGAACATATTGAATCGTTGGATTCCACCCTCTACACCTTCTTGCGGTTACAGAGCTGGAACGATTATCTGGTGTTCGAAGAACTTCATCTGAGCTTAACGGGATCACAGCTTTCTCCAAATCCCATATCTCCCAAAACAGACCACCACCTATTAAGTGCCTTGCCTGATCTTCTCGATGTTTTGGGCCCATTGGTGTTTGTATTGTACAAACAGTGTTTGTTGCGTAAACGTATCATGTTGTTTCACCATGATCCCGTGATTTTGTCCAACTATACTGCTGGCGCTTTTACCTACCTTCTCTCGTTGATATCTCTCATTTCTCAGGACACTGAAACAATTCAGTCTAATATAGTGTCCATGTCACAACCGATTTATAACGTGGGCCTTCATGACCTTTCGGAAAATGATAGTGTTTTAAAAACTCCCCACATAATAACGGTTACCAGTGATGAGATCCTCATGTATCAGGATGTATACGATGTGGGGGTGTCGCTTCCGACTGACAACTCTGGCCATGTAAAAATTTGCTATGCCAATGGTCAAGCAACCAACTTCAATGCCCCGGCGAATCAGTTGAAGGCCACTCGTCAGGACCTACAAAAATTCCGCTCCGCTTACAAACGGTTTAGAAGACTCAAGAAACGCCAACTTGGCTCCAATGCAATAGCGACGTTTTCCAATGAGGAACTAAGCTCGATTAATACCTCGACATCAACCAAGTCGGGGCTGAGACAAAACTGGCTCTTTTATGATCCTCATCTGGCCGAAGGTGAACCACTGTGGTGGCTTGAATTTGCAACCGCTCCCATGTCTTGGCGAGAATTCATATGGTCGGCATTCCTGTGGTTCGCCAGTGCCGGCACGGTGAATCGCGAAGACAAAGAAGACGATATCTCTGCTGAGAATGACGCTACAAGATATCAACAACTTATTGAATTGGTATCGTCGTTCCATAGACTCACAAGAAAGTGGTTCAGCATGATTAATGACATTGTAATGCAGGAACTCGAAAACAACGGCGTGGTGTATACTGACGGACACCCACTTCAGGAAAAATTATCGATAGAAGTCACCTACCAGGATATTTATGATATGGAATTGGACCCATATGCTTATTCAGACCTACAGTTCATCCATGAATTTGTAGCGACATACTGGGGAGAGATTGTTGGCCGTGTGCAAATAGGGACAGGTATTGGAGGTGTTTTCTGCTAGGCAGACAAAGTTAGAAAATGAATTTTTCTATTTTCTAGTTCATATTCTTAAAATATACCAATTAGGCAAATCCAACTTTGGGACGATATGGTTCCTCAAGGTATTTGATTTGCTCGTCCGTAAGTTTGATGGTCGCCAATCTTACAACAGAATCTATCGCATCTAACAGAGTGAGACCAATAATTGGATTGGCTCCTTTTGCAACTAACCATCCTGCAGCGACTTCCACCATGGAACATCCAATTTTCTTGCTGACTTCTTCTACTCGATCAATAATGATGCGGTCGTTCTCAGCATCTAAGTGTAAAAGATGGTGTAAGAATGGCAATTCAAATTTTGCCTTAGACTTTTCGCTGCTGGTTGGGATCGCAAGTAACCCTCTTGCATTGGGGGACCATGGAATCAAGCCGACGCCAGTTTTTTTGCAGTATTCGTTGAGTTCCCTCTCGTCTTCCCGGTATAACAAGTTGTACAAGCTTTGCATCGATACAAACTTGTGCCAGCCATGTTTTTCAGCAGTGTGCTGCAACTCAATAAATTGATAAGCTTTCATTGACGAAGCACCCAAGTATCTTACTTGACCACTTTCAACCACATCATTCAAGGCACGCATGATTTCTTCGTCTGGAACCTCGGGGTCGTATCTGTGAATCTGGAGCAAATCAATATGGGTACCCAATCTTTCAACTGAACCTTTCACGGCGTCCAAAATGTGCTTTCTTGATAAGCCTCTATCATTGAAGTTCAAGCTTGAACTGATTGTACCTGGTGCGAAGTCCATAGGTAAAAAACATTTCGTCATAATGACAACATTTTCACGGGGTATGTTGTATTGTTTCAAAAACTTTCCAATTGTTTTTTCACTATTGCCTCCTCCATATGCATTGGCAGTGTCGAAAGTACGCAATCCTTCATCATAACATTTTTTCAAGATTGCAATCGAAGTTTCCTCGCTAATACCCATATCAACGTCACCTATTGGAGGCATATTGAAAAGCATAGTACCAACGACTGCATGGTTAATTCTGAGGCCCGACTTGCCTAAACGTGTAAGTGTTGAGTTTTCGAGAACCATTTTGATGCTGAAAAGCTGTAGGCTCCGTCTTATATAGAGTCA